AACCGTGCTTTATCAATCTCCTGTAGCCCTCATCAGTTTCCCATCCCCGCTGCTTCTTTGCCGTAATTTCACTTGCTACTCCGAGAGGCAATATTCCGAGCTCTCAAGTCCAAGTCCGATCTCAAAGCCAGTGACGATGATCGAGTATTCCAAGAATTCAACTGAGCACTGCAATTGGCAACAATCATTCAGATTTCTCCTTGGAGGAGATGTCTGTTCAAAAACCTTTATGCCCAAGTTTCCCCTGTGTACTGGAGCCAGTCAATGAAGATGTAATGGGAGCCTGGAAGCGAAATCATTTTCACGTTCCGTTCGCTCTTACCCCCGGCAAAAGAGTTACTGACAGCCACTGGACAGGAAATTAAGAATTCACCAAAGCCATTCGTGACATGCTAATAAAGATTAGTTATTCAACGACAGTGTCAAATGCAAAGGTTTCGTACCCTGTCGATTATGGTCTAACGGGTTGTGGTGCAATGCAGATTTGCAGAAAAATTTCTGACGAACTGATTACCTTAGTTTCTTGAAAATGGAGGCGGTACGTTTCACTAAAATGTTGATAATCATCTAGATGACAACATGGAATCCATTTACAGAGCGGATTTCTTGCTGTAACCGGCCGGGCTTCGACCTACAGCGCCTTCCCTAAAGTAAGAGTCGGTGAAGGTAGTAGGTAGGTCCAATTATCCTGCGCGTATTTATCGGGTACCAAACACCAATATTTTCGTCATGAAGAGGAAATTCGTAAATAACTGTAGGATTTTATACATTTCAATACAATCTGAATTTCACCTCTTTACGTACGGAAAACAAGCCACGTGAGAAAGAACATTACTTGTGTATCAACTTCTTCTTCATGTACATATCAAAGAAGCCATTTGTTCTAAACAGCATCATGTTTGTTCAAACAATTTTGAGGCCCGCTAGCAGATATTCTCGAAACACCTGTCTCCTGTCATAATCGTTTAATAGATTTTACCGGTAAAATTACACGTCTACCACCAATGTCTATCAGCATATTTCATTTCCCACGTGACAAATATTTGTTAAATTTAATACGCAAACCGTAAAGTAACAGTAGTTTGATGATGGCCAATAACGACCTAAAAAATGTCACAGATAATAGTGACATGAAATAAATAACACACAAATACCAAATAAATCGACTATTTTTCGACTGTCACTCGCTTGTGAACTCTTCGCAGAGTTTCTAGGTATATAATATGCCTACAACAAGGCTGGGCATTTCAACAAACGTTGTAATTACAGCCTTAATATGTAATTATATAAAATAATTTCGTTAATAAGAATTACATTCAACTTTGGATTACGTACGTTTTTGGGGCACTACTTATTTACTTTTTTCGCTAATCCTTTTATTTATTTATATATTTATTTCACTCCATCCTCTTTCGTTGCTTTTCTCTCCAGATTTTCGTTTATTATTTATTCTCTGACACTATAATTTTCTTTTATTCCCATTGCTTCCATTTACTGCTTCGATAATTATCGATTGATCGATACGGATGTCTGCTATGCTTCACAATAGGAAAGAGAACTCTAACATTTTCAAGCAGAAGGAACATTTAACTGAATTCGGGAAACAATTACAATCATTCCGCTTAATCAGAAACAAATTTTACATCAGAATGAAACACACAACCTGTGAGCACGGTGACTACTTTATTAATGAGGGTCTATACCTCCATGATACTAAGTTCCGATGCAGCAATTCATCCATTCACGTCTGAGCGAATGGGCGAGAATCCTTGCAGTCAGCCGTTTGATGTGTGAAATCGCAGCCACTTAAAGGAATTGCTTTATTCAGAACGATGGAAATGAGACCTTTCCCTAACATACAACACTTCAGCAGATTGCATTTCCAATTTGAACAGATCGTAGCAAAAAAGAAATACAGTACAAATAGTGTCCATGGCAACACAGAGGTCCAGCAGCTTCTAGAACAGCTCCCAAGACAAGAAAACGTTCACATTGGCTCTATAAATTAAATTAAATTAAAGAAAATTTCTACGCAATACAACTTAGACCATACAAAAAAAGCTTATTTTTGTTATCCTTCCTGACGTTGGTAGAGGCAGAAATGAGCCCAAAATCTGCGATCCGAACGTCCGTCTGTATCTACGCGTTAAAGACGTGACGAGAAGCAAAGAGTCGAATATTCATCATCAGATCGATGTTTCCACCTAATAAACAGTAACCTAGAAGCATTACGATACATGGTTTGGGAACAGCCCAAAGCAGATTCATACAACATTCAGTGAACTACTGAATGGCCTGATGTGACATGACGTTAGTTCCTTCTGGTATTACAACAGGAATCACAAATCATGTAAAGGCTGATCAATTCCGATCAAACTTCGATCGGTGTACTTACAACGGGATCCGGTCCGTCTTTACACTCCAATTCGGCTCCGGTTTTGTACTACGTCAGTGGACCATCCTCCGACTTCTAGCCATTCCGCGATTTCTTCCTAACACAATTTTATTTTCCACTTTCTTCACTGAGGATGAGGGCAGAGATTATTCTCGAAACGTTGGCAGAAGATATGGTCTATCCACCGTTCAGGCACATGACGCGGCTTGTAACCCGGGAAACTTTCATCAAAATATTTATTTATTTAGTGTTCTGTCTGACGACAGGTCCATATGAACAGGATCCTTCCATCCTTTTCTCGGACTGGGACTTGTTCATATACGTTCTTGGCAGATGATGCAGAAGTGGTTTGCCATTACCTTCTTCTGTGTGTGAATGGAGTAATTGTTGGGATGCCACGGAGAAACCGGGGAAGCCTCCGTGTTCACAACAACTGTACAGTTTTCAAAGATCTATTAACATACACCATTTGTGGAACTTATATTAAGTAGAGAGCATAGAGCCTTTCCTGCTTTAGAAGTTCATATCATGGTATTGTTGATAACAGATTGTTAACTGCTAAAAAATTAAAAAAATGTCCAATAGTTGGGTCGCTTCCTACGACACAATATTCATACCAGTTTTAAAGTCTGTCAATTGGGACAAAATTTGCAGAGGAGACAAACTCAAACACACAGTTCGAACTCTGGGATCAAATGCAACTTATGTTATCAGTAGTCAACATATTTCCTTTTAAACATTTTGTGCTATTCACAATCAAATCATAATATAAAAAATCATGCACACAAACAAAACTGTTTACACATTAAATAACACTTTGTGCCAAACACGTTTTGACCTCAAGAGGTCATCATCACTGTAAAAGGTCACATTTTATAAAACTATACTTCATGAACGTTTAATTGCACATGAATTGGTGTATTATCTAAATTGAATTACTTTCCCCAACCAGTGTATTAAAAATAGTGTTAAGAAGACAGAAATCTTCATCGCCCTGATGATGGAGGCAGCAAAGACCTCTGAAACGTTGGTTAACATCTGCCAGACTACACAGCGCCACAACCCAGAAGACAGAAATCTTCATCCTCATCGCCCTGATGATGGAGGCAGCAAAGACCTCTGAAACGTTGGTTAACATCTGCCAGACTACACAGCGCCACAACCCAGAAGACAGAAATCTTCATCCTCATCGCCCTGATGATGGAGGCAGCAAAGACCTCTGAAACGTTGGTTAACATCTGCCAGACTACACAGCGCCACAACCCAGAAGACAGAAATCTTCATCCTCATCGCCCTGATGATGGAGGCAGCAAAGACCTCTGAAACGTTGGTTAACATCTGCCAGACTACACAGCGCCACAACCCAGAAGACAGAAATCTTCATCCTCATCGCCCTGATGATGGAGGCAGCAAAGACCTCTGAAACGTTGGTTAACATCTGCCAGACTACACAGCGCCACAACCCAGAAGACAGAAATCTTCATCCTCATCGCCCTGATGCAGCACAACAACCCAGCCACTAGAAATCTTCATACTCACCGCTGTGAAAACCTCAAATCTTATATGAAAATAGCGTTGGTTCTTAAACGTGAGGTTCATCCCTTGTTTAATAATGGACAGTGAATATCAGTGCACAAAGTAGCCACCCCACACCAAAATACTATGAGATCAACTGACCTTTGCCCGTTTCATTGTCTTTTATGATAGTATGGTATTCCGATTCTGTCTCTGGCGCTGTTGCTCCTTCGGTCTGTGTGCTCAGAAGACGTAACTGAAGACCATGACCTGCAAGCACAGAAACACAAAACTGTACAGAGCATAATTAAGATACCTGTCTTCCATGATGCTGTACCATGTAGTCTAATAGAAATTAACTAATGTTTCAGAGATGCTTGCAGTTGTAATGATGGAGGCGGTAAGACTCTCTGAAATGTCAGACTACACAGCACTACATCGGAGGAGACAATTATTTTCATACTCAAAGCTGTGAGAACCTGAAATCTCACTCAACAGCGGAATTACCACAATAGTCCGACCCGCACAGCTCAGATTTCAGACATTATGCAATTCAAATTAGGAAACAATTTTCTCTCTCTCTCCAGAAATAACGTTCAATGCACCACGAGTATTAAAGTCTACTCACAAATCCTGTGAGAAAAAACTACGGTGGACCCCCACATAACAAAGTCTTCAGATAACAGATTCTCACTTAATGAAATGCCTACCATACGCCCCACACAGACTCATAAAAAATTGTTTCTACTTAACAAACTGCTTACAAAGTCAAATGGTTGACAATTCTGACCACACAAATTGCTCCTAAATGTACTCATCAGGCTTCAGCCAATAATCAACATCCATTTATAAGCGTTTGTAGCTAAAATGCCTTTGTTTATATTGTCTGCTATGTCTTGGTAATGTAAAAAGCTATCTTGCAGACTTTCTGCTTTTAGGATTTGAAGTTCTCGTGTGAGCCCTGATGATGAAGGCAGCAAGGACTTCTGAAAAACTGGTAAACTTCTACCAGACTATTCAGAGCTAGATCACAGAAGACAGCCAGCTTTGTGCTGTTATTCAATTCCGCTCTTTTAACACAGAATTAATATTGATCAAATTGTCCTCAAAATGTAATTCACAGAGAGAAAGAAGAAGACAAGCATAACCCTGGGATAACGCAGGAAATTGTTGAGAAGTCTGAAACGGGGGGAAAAATAGGTGTATATGCTAAGGAGTATATAGTCTGTCTCACTTAACAATTTCCACCATCCTAGTAAATAAAAAAAGAAAGCTACCAGTGTGTGTGCTGCCTCAAACAGGATGATTAATGAGACGGAAAGGATTATGGAAATGGAAGTACTGCTGTTGCAAATGCAAGGCGAGTCCATACATGGGAACGCCATTTGCGAGAATGCTAAAAGGATCTACGATGACCTTAAATGTGTATCGGCTAAATCCTCAGGTTTAGTTTCTTCACATAACACAGGCTTTCACGGAATGAACTAAATTAATTATGCATACTGCTTTCTGCAATTTTCCAAGTCACCCACTTCTTAAAATATCCTAAAAATTCAACTTCCCCCATCAATAAAGCACTCTTTTTTGTACAATTTAGACCCCCAATATAATGTCATATTTATGATCTATGCAAGTGAGAGATCAAGGAATAATTCTTCATATGTAAGAAATAATGGATGGATCTACTTTTATTTAAATCTGTTTACAATGGTACAGTCAGCTCTAGCTCAGATCTAATCCAGGGACCTTCCAAACACTAGACAAACAAATTACACACAGCTAAGGAAATTAATATGAAGTCAGTATATTTACCCAATTGCTCTGATACTCATGAAAATGTAGATTCAGTATCAAGTGTGAACATGATATAATTTGTATCGCATGTCTATAATTTACAATCACCTGGGTCAAGCACAGATACCTCTGAATGCAGGGCATATTAATGTCTGAGATTACACAGACAAAAGGAGTACATTTTTCGTCAATCCAAGCAATTAAAACACAATTTCATACCTACACCCCTTCGAGTTATTCGGTACAACACAATACTAAACAAAAGTGCAAATTTGTACATATTTAAACAATGATACATGAGTTACAATAATTCAGAATGCGAAAAAAATCCAAATCCCATCCACTGAGTGATCTTCAACAAAATGTATAATGAAATATATTAAAAATAAAATAATGATTGTCATTTTAAAATTCTTGATATAAGATCTAAAACAAATTGCATGACCTTTGAAACTGTTAGTAAGCTTCCAAGGCAGATGCACAACTTTTATATAAAAATTTCATTGTTTTATACACATTATTATCTGCTGGTATCAAACAGGAGTAAGAAAGTGCAGATTTACATGCAATAACTTGGATGTTTAACTACAGTGCTACCACGTGATAATGAGATAAATAATTGTTAATCTTGTTTTCTGCTCTGTCTTAAGTTTTCATGCTCTTCATTATGATTGGGTAGACCGAGGACAGACAAGATCTACTAAATGAAACTGAAAAAAAAAAATACAACCACTTTGCAGCAAAACATGTGTACCTCCTCTTTAATTTTATTGCCAGTCTATGTATTTTTCTGCAATCTACATGTACATATATAAATAAGTATCTTTAAGTTTCAATAATTACACATAGTTAATAAATTTTTGATCAAATGGATTATATTTTAATCTATTTCAAATAATTAATATATTTAAAATAAATTACATAATAATAATAAAGATTGATAATTATAAACATGAAGTAGAACATTTTTTGGTAGGGGTCAATTTATAAGAAGTTGTCATGGCCAATCAATGCCATAAACCATCTATACATTCCCCCCCATGATATGCAAAATGGGGTTGGTGTCCTGCCATGACTCTTCGACAATATTTAGTGTGCCGCGAGTGTAGAAAGGTTGCGCAACACTGTCATAGACTTGTCGAAAGCCTTTGACTGTACAGAACATACATTACTTCTTGACACTCACAGAATTAAGGATACCCATCTAGAACTGGTAAAATCCTATCTCACATACAGGACTCAGCATGTCCAGATAATCCACATCAAAGATGAACTTGTGAAACAGACAGTTTGCTTGTTCTGTACTTGTTCCACTCCTTTTCATCACATATGTTAATTACCTTCCAAAATTAAATTGTCGCAGGGCAATTACATATGATAATAACACTTCAATTCTAAATATGGTGAAAAATTTGAATAAATTGGGAAAAGGAAGCAGTGACAACATAAATAAAGTAACACACAACACTTTTGAAGCAGATAACTTACACCTAAATCTGAACAAAATTAACTTAACAGTGTTCTAAACCAAAAGAAATAAATCAAGTTTCTAAACTAAAGCTAACAATCAGAAAGGAAAAAATTTAGTGAAGTAGAAACCTCAAATTTCTTAAGAATTTATAAAAGAAGAACATGTAGACAAAAGATTAACACCAATTTCTTTTTAATTAAGAGACTGTCTAGCATAATGGATATGCATGTCCTTCATACTGCTTATTATTGGCTACTTTATGCATTTGTTGCAGATGGCACTGCTCTCTGGAGTCACAGACATAAAAAACATACAAGAAGTGTGTTTGTACTACAAAAAAGGATAGTCAGATTCATAACATGCCTGATCGCAACAAACTCCGGTCATGAAAGATTTGTTGGCCTATGGTTCCTAACCTTTTATTGCTCTATTCTGGAAGTAATTTTGTTTTCAAAAAGAAAAAATAAGGTTACAGCCATTACAAATATACAGGTTCACAACCACATAACAAGAAACAGATTAGATTATCACTGGCTGCCTCACAACCTTTTACAACAGTAAGCCAGTGATTGCAGGTTGCAAATTATATAATAAATGTCCTATTTACATAAAACAGATAAAAAAAGATCACTATTCAAAAAGGGGCTGAAGCAGCTACTCCTAAAAGAATGCTATTATTCAATTGAGAAATATACAAATGATGACTTCACTCATAGAATCATTTGAATCTTTCTATTTATATGCAACTACTTCCCATACTTTCTCTCAGGACAAGGTCTGGAGATGAGCTTTTGAGAGCACTGTGATGAAACTATGGGTTCCATAAAGGAAGAAAGCCAAGTATACAATCAAATTTTCAAAGAATATCCTGCACCATACAGTGACTGAGTACTTCAGATACATCTTGCACATTTCTGTTTTATCCTGTTTTGTTGTCTGTTAGATTTTTGGACTTATTGTCCTGTATGATCATAGTCATAATAAATTGGTACTTTTTTTTTAACTCTGTGTCCATTCATCAGAATCTCACATGAACTGTAATCAATTCTTAGAGTATTTTTAATTTCAACTGTTACATTCTTGTATTCAGGCTTTTATTAACATTTTTATGCCTTTGTGCAAATGAGCTTTGCTGTATATATGGAATATCAAACATCAATGTATGTTGATCTATGGGGCAATCAATGAATAAATGGATCCAGTAAAATAAAAAGACGCAATAGTATCAAAGTCTGATATGTTACTGTGTTTTTCTCTGTCACGTAAACAATGTCCTCATTTTAATAAAAATATTGGATGTAATTTACAACACTGATACCCTCAAAATAACAAATTAGTTGTCCTTGTGCTTGGCCCTATGTAAAAAAGCAAACATGCTTTCATCTTCGACTTAACATTAATCTGTATAGAGTAAAATTGTTCATTACCTGATAACTGGTGTTTTAGTGTGACTTGTTTCTGCAGACGAGGACGAATAAATAACGTTGCACTTCTACGTAAAACACTTCCAAAACCAGCAGCACGATGAATTTTCGTAAGAGCAGCCATTATACAGTAAGTTAACCCACGTGATGAGTGTAGTTCAGTATTCGACCGCTAGATGTGGTCAGCGTTCGAAATAGAATGAAACGAGGCGTCATTCGAGAGTGAGGCCGAGTAGGTAGTTGACGTATGTGTTCGGCTGTGTGACCCACGCGCCGGTCAAGAACGAAATAGCCTCGCAGAGTGTGACGTTTGGAAAGAAACATGTGCGAAAAGAGATTTCGGAAGTGATTGCAAGTGAAATAGCGATACATAAGACTTCATCAGTGAAAGCTTCAATTGAGTGTTGTGAAAGGTGTCACAGTGATTTAGCCCGGAAGACCATGTAAACTTAGCACAAAACCTGTCCGACATGAAGGCACGCATGTTCGGTTTGCGTAGGCAGTACAGCAACAACCTGTTGTGTTATGGAGGCGGTTGGTGCAGTGTTGCACATTGATTGTAGCCAGTAGTGGCGGTTTTTAGAACTCGCACGTGGAACATGTGTACTTGTGTGGGAGTGTGCGTGCGGTAGCGATGTGGACGGCGTGTGAACACACCATGAGCATGACTGTTGTTGCCAATTGACCCTTTCTTATCGTACTCTTCGAACTGGCATACCCACTCAGCGTGTGCGTCTGTGAGGCAGGCGTCGTGGATCCCGGGGGCGGGAGAGGGGGCGGCTGCGTGGATGGTGGACTCATTCCTCGCAAGCCCGTCGCCGCTGCC